ATAATTTTGGGGAGGGGAGGTGTGCACATGGGAAGCTGGTAAGTGCCCTAGCTGAGTAGCCTTCTGATGCAGGGGCTGGTCAGAAAGCCTGTCTGCATGTTATTACAGCTGGGTTTGTCCCTATCTGTGGGCTGACGAAAGTGTGAGACCAGGAGCATGTCTGCAGCTTGTCACAGCATTGCGGAGTGAGTGGGAGCCCAGGCTGGTAGGTCAGGTGACTCAGTGGTACCCCAGTTGCAGGCGGCATCCCGGGGGGAACCCCTCACAGTTGCGCAGCAAGCAGGGTCATATGCACAGCTTGTTGCTCTGAGACACTGGTGATGATTTTAAATGAGTTTTAAGTGTAGTGGCTAGAGCTCAGTCAAAGTGATTACCAGTTTTGTTATTTTCTGTTTGCTTATTTCGGGCAAGGGAAGTATGAACAGAAAAACAGGAAAATGAGTGAAAGTGAACCTAGCAAGAATCTGGAGCATGGCAGATTGCAGGCAGAAGAGAGGGAGAAGGAGACAGAAGACAAATGGAATTAAAACAAATGGAGATTAATGCACAAGAAGCTGCACACTGGAGAACCACACAAGCCGAAGAGGCCAAGCAAAAAGCTGCACACCAGAGAGCCCTGGAACTGCAAGACAAAGAAATGGAGGCCTGGAGGAGAGGGGAAAAGAGAGGAAGCATGAACTGGATTTGATAAAGAAGCGGAACCAGCACCCCCACAGCTCTCCAAAAATCCACAAATGGGAACGATTGTGTCCTGCATACAACAAGACGGGGGACATTGCTGAATATTTCATCACCTTTGAGAGGCTGTGTGTACTCCATGAGATTCCTGAAGACCAAAAGATGCCCACTTTGGTTGCAAAGTTGTTTGGGAGAGCGCTGGATATATTCAATAAGATGCCAATTGGAGATGCTTCAGATTATGGTAAATTCAAGGAAATGGTTTTAAAACGGTTTCAGATTATACCTGAAACATATAAAGTAAAATTTAGAAGCCTTAAGAGAGGTGCTGGAATGAGAAATGTGTCATATGTAAACCAGATGAGAGATTTGATGGATAAGTGGGTAAGGAGAAAAGGTATTACAAGCTTTGAAGAAATGTGTGATCTTGTTTCTCAGGAACATTTCCTGAATTTATGTAATGATGATGTAAAACAGTGTTTATGGGATAAAAAGGTAAAGACTGTTGATGAACGTGCTACTCTAGCTGATCAATTTGAACAAACCCAAGTATCTATTAGAAATAAATCACAGGCAGGGGGCTTTAAGTTTGGAGGAAAACAGGGTTCTGTTTAACTCCTGGGGAAAGGGAGGGTGGATGGGAGGCTGGATGCTCATCTCCCCAAGTCCATTCCTCTTGTCCTCGCCCAAGTCCCCTGTAAAAACAGAAGAGCCCAGAAGGTGCTGCTATTGTAATTCCACTGAGCACCTTAGGAATAAATGCCCTGTGCTGAGTGGGAACAGGCAGCAAGCAACTCATGGGAACGCTGCTACCCAGAGCACAGAGGCACCTCAGGCAATTGCCACTTATCATACAGGGTTTGTAAAAGTAGCCTCTGCACAGCCAGGCAGGAAACACATAAAGACTGTCAGAATTAATGGCAAGGAACATCTTGGGTGGAGGGATACAGGTGCAGACATTTCTGTGGTCAGAAGAGACCTTGTTCAGGAGAAAGACATATTGCCAGGGCAGATGGCAGAGACTTTGTTTGTAGGAGGTCACAAAATCCTTGTGCCATTGGCTAAAGTGCACATAGAAACTGGGGATTTGGAAGCTGAATTAATTGTGGCTGTAGTACGTGGTAACCCAACACAATTGTTACTTGGGAATGACTTTTTCAATGTAGCTCAGGCTGTCAAGGGGTCTGTCAGCAGCAAGGCACAATATTGTGCTGAAACCCCAGAGGGAAAGGGTGAAGTCTCAGGAACTGCTGGGGGAATGGGAGAGTGTTTCTTTAATTCCTCTTCAGCAGTAGAAAACAGTCTGCTTCCAGGGGTGGGTGTGGTTGAGACCAGCTCCTACTGCCCAGTGGCTAAAAGCAGCTTTTCCTCAAAGGTGGAGGAGAGTGTATTGCCTGTCAGTGAGAAGACTGTCCAGGTTGCTGGCTGCCAGCAGGTTGCAGTTGAGCAAGGGACAGACCTCACTCTAGAAAGCATAGGAAGATGTCCTAGAGGGAAGTCCAGAGGTGGGGGGTGGAATCCTAGAGACCACTGAGGTGGGTGAGGGTTCCATGAACTCTGCAGCTGGAGGCAAGCCCAATTCAAAGAGGGAGGGCATAGTGCCTACCAGTAAAAGGACTGTTCTGGCTGTTAGCTATGAGCCACAGCTAAACAGGGGATAGATCCCACTCTAGAGAGCACAGAGGTGTGTGTCTGAAAGAGGTGGTGTGCACCTGAGAAGCTGGTAAGTGCCCTAGCTGTATAGCCTTCCCATGCAGAGGCTAGTCAGAAAGCCAGTCTGCATGTTATTACAGCTGGGTGTATCTCTACCTGTGTGCTGAGGAAAGTGAGAGACCAGGAACGTGTCTGCAGCTTGTCACAGCATTACAGGGTGAGTGGGAGCCCAGGCTAGTGGGTCAGGGTGCTCAATGGGAGCCCATGTGACATTTCACTCCATATTCTTTATGAAAATATCCTTATGATATGAATATGACATAACCAAGATGTACTTTATGCAAGATAGGTCTTGTAAGATATCATTGGAAAGGTTATAATTTACTGAATGTGATATATAATTTATAATTTACTGAATGTGTTTATCCAGTTTGTATGCCTGTATCATTTCTATATCTGAAGTTAGGAATATTGACTATGCATCTGTATTTCAATATGCTACTTTGGGTGACGCCAACTGCTAACACTTCAGGTACAACAATGGAAAAGCCAGACAGGGCTGATGGCCCATCAGCAAGGACAATAGACTATGAAAAGGCTTGGCCTTCCTGCAGACGCTCCATATTGCCACTGACTCATGGATGCTGTGATACTACAGCAGGGGATCAGCAACCTTTGGCACGCGGTTTGCCAGGGTAAGCACCCTGGCGGGCCGAGCCAGTTTGTTTACCTGCCGCGTCTGCAGGTTCGGCTGATCGCAGCTCCCACTGGCCGCGGTTCGCCGTTCCAGGCCAATGGGGGCTGCGGGAAGCGGTGCAGGTATAGGGATGTGCTGTCTGCCACTTCCCGCCACCCCCTGGAGCCTGGAACAGCGAACCACGGCCAGTGGGAGCCACGATCGGCCGAACCTGCGGACGCGGCAGGTAAACAAACCGGCCTGGCCCGCCAGGGGGCTTACCCTGGTGGGCCGTGGGCCAAAGGTTGCCGATTCCTGTACTACAGAGTCAGGTGGGACTTCTTGTAACTTTTCACGGGGGGGGGGGCAAGTTTGGGAACAAAGGATTCCCACCTTATGTAAATCCTATTTAAGGGTGGGGAGGAAGGCAAGTGGGACTCCTCCTCTCCATGGCCTGTCTGCCCGAGAAAAAAGACTGTTAAAGCCACCTGAAGGGAAGGCAAGGGGGGAGTCTAGATTGAGACAGGAGTCCAGTCTCAAAAGGAATATAATCATAGAATCATAGACTATCAGGGTTGGAAGGGACCTCAGGAGGCCATCTAGTCCAACCCCCTGCTCAAAGCAGGACCAATTCCCAACTAAATCATCCCAGCCAGGGCTTTGTCAAGCCTGACCTTAAAAACCTCTAAGGAAGGAGATTCCACCACCTCCCTAGGTAACCCATTCCAGTGCTTCACCACCCTCCTACTGGAACTCTGGACCACAGAAACTTTGCAACCTGCCTAAAAATAACATTTAGGGTGAGAATTTACATTTTGTAGCTTGTTTCTTAAGTATATTGAGCTTAGCTTGCGTATTTTGCTTTATTTGGTCAGTAACCTTCTTTGTTCCGTCTATTATCTTTTATATTCACTTAAAATTCACCTCTTGTAGTTAATAAACTTATTTCTTGTTTATAATATAACCCAGTTTAGGTAATTTCTAACCGGGGGTGGGGGGTGGGCAAGAAGTTGTGCATATTTCTCTCCACATTGAGGGAGGGGGCGAATTTCATAAAACCTTTGGGTTTGGTGCCCACTCCCTTTAAGGGGTACAGAGTGTTGGGGTGAGCCCCGAAGGCTGAATCTTTCCTGAGTGGATCTGTGTCTCTCTGTGCTGCTGGGTGTGGCCCTGCCTGTGTGCTTGGCTGGAAGAGGCTTGTGAGCCTAATCCAGCAAGGCCAGGTAAAGGGGACCCTGGATGGCAGAATAGGCTGACTCAGTGGCATCCCAGCACATAAGGTGACACCCCAAAGGGCCCAAACCCGTCACACCCCAGTTCTAGGTGGTACCCCAGAGGGAACCCGTCACATATACATTAATATCTGGGTAAATTAAAGATGTTAGTTTTGTTAGTTTGCATCTTGACTACATTAGAGACCAGAGCTTTTATGTTCAGGTACAGCGCTTGATCTAAGAATTCCATAATTTAAATGGGAGGAAAATGGTAACTGGTCTTTTTTGGTGAAGGATACTCAAATCAGGAATCCACTTCCCTTTGGATCCATCTGAACTTGGGATATAGTAACCTTCAGCATATGCTGCAAAGCTCAAATCATTCTGTACATTTTTCATAGAGAGGTGGTCTTGGTTGAATAAGCTTTGTATACACAATGATTGAACAGCGCCTTGACACCTGGCAAGTCACACTTATAAATTTAAATAAAATAAATAAAACATTGATTTTCAGAATGAGAGGGTTGGTATCTTGGACTATAAACAGAGTTAGCTGCCAAACCCGTAGAAAGCCATTCCAGTTTTCCATATAAGTTTCAGATCTTTTGAGGTGCTGAAAAGATATTCAGTATCCAAGTTGTGTAGTCTTGTCAAGCCTTATTTTTAACCTGAAATACAATTAAATGCAATAGAAGTTGTGTAGATTGTTTGTTATGTATATGACATTTGCTTAAAATTTCCTGTCAATCAATCTTGTGATTTTTTTTTTTTCATAACAGGGAGAACGTGGCTTTGAGGGTAATAAAGGAGAAGAAGGTGAAAAGGTAAATCACTTCATTTGTGCAGTTTTTTGTGGTTAAATGTTTTCAACCTATGATACTTGAGAACTTCTGTCCTCACATAGGGCCTAGTTCTGAAGTCCTTAGCTCTTTCACAGACAAAGCTCTATTTTCTGCTATGGTAGAATAAGGACTTAACAATATGGTTCATATTAATTAGACATAATAAAATGTTCTCAGTGTTTCCAGCCAGTTGTGTTAGGATGTGTGTATGTAGATAAGATTTTATGTTAACCCTACAGTGTTTAGCATGACAAAAATACTTGGTAAAGCTTCAAGTTACAGGGCGCTAACATGGTTGTATTCCTTACTTCCATGGTAACTGGCAGCTTTTTATTTACACAGCATGTCCTACTTGGTGAGAATACAAATATTTAGTTTGGAGATATATTTTAATTACCAATCAATTTGCAAATGTGTAAAATTATGTAATTACTATAGGGAGGAATCAAAAATCAACATTTACTATATTATCTCCTATATGTGACATCTATTGATGTAAGCTGACTTTGTAATGGAGATCACTGTATGTAGTTACATAACATTTAGCAAGTGACAAATTTTGCCCTTTTACATGCAACTGATACTGAAATCGTTGGGGGACAACCAATGGCAGAATTGACTTTCTGGAGTCTCACCAGTGTAACTGAGGTAAAAATTTAGTCCACTATATCCAAGACTTAAACCTGCCTGCCTTTTTTGAATTCCCACTGCAGAATCCCGGCTTGCGTTTACTTACATATGTGGATTTGATTTACACCTCCCTTGCTCTTCCACTGCAGAATTTGACTCACTGTGTGAGAGAAATACTGAACGTGTGGTTATATGCTACATTTTTTCCTATTAATATATTTATTATGTCAGTCACTCTTAACCAAAGTATACTATCATATTCAAATTCCAACACCAGAAACCCATAATAGAACACAAGTACAGTAGCCTGTTCCTCAAAGTGTAACCCCTTGTAAATTCTCCTGTGGATCTACTTAGACATACAACTGGCACAAAAGACTCCCAAGGAATGTGGATTCCATGGCAAAGCACCACATGCCCTGCATCAGGAGACAACATGAGCAAAACTTTCAGAAGATGGTTATGTCCCCATCTTAGATAACCTGTGGTCAGAAACAGTGCAGCAACACCTATGTTAACCCAAGGAACTAAACTCCTTAAGTTCCTGTGGAAAGATGGTCCAATGGTTAGAGCACTACCCAGGCCACTGAAGACCTGGATGGAAGTCTTGTTCTGTCATGGACATCCTATGTTACCTTGGGCAAGTCACTTAGGGTGGGATCCACAAAAGTACTTAAGTACCTGACTCCTGTTTTTAGGCACCTCTGCTATCCACAAAACTCCTGCTTAGCTGCCATTGAACCCATAGGCGCCTTGCTTAGTGCTTAAGTTTTTGCTGTAAAAGTTCCCTCAGGGCTTATGTTTCTACCTCTGAGCATGTGCACTGCTATCTCACCCTAGATCACCAGGCACCTATCTCTTACTTGAGCCCCAGAGCAGTTCATGAACCAGGAGAAAGATGGTTGTCAGAGGCCACCTAACTCCACAGAAAACAGCCAGGGAGGTGAAGGGTGGGAAGCTAGAGGCAGACCTCCCTTATAACCTTTAGCCTCGTGGCTAGGGTACTCACCTGGGGACTCCCACCCGCTGTCTGATGAGGAGAAGGGATTTGAATAGAGCCATCTCTCAAGTGAGTGCTTTACCCATTGCTTATGGGATATTCTGATGTGGGGCTCCCTCAATCTCTCCTATGTAAGTAGTTCTGCTTTAATTAAATGATTGAATAATTAAATATTATTTGGGTGAGAGCAAAAATTAGCATGACTCTATAGCCTGGTGGTTAGACCACTCACCTGAGAGGTGGCAGATCCCTGTTCAATCTCTTCTCCTCATCAGGCAGAGAGAGGACTTGAAAACTAGGACTCTCCCACATCTTAGGGGAGTACCGTGACCACAAGGTTTAAGGGACATCTTTCTCCTGTCCCTTCCTCCCCCCCCCCCCCCCCACACCCCAGCCATTTTGTGAGGAATGTGCCTATTGGATCTGGCACTGCACATGATTTAGTCAGGCAAATGCCTGTCTTTCCCTGATTTGTGAATCACAAGCAGAGATAGGTGCCTTCGTGCAGCCCAGACTTCAGGACCTACCTCTGGAAGAGGAGCAGGGCTTAGTACACACCCTAATTGTTGTGATTTCCCATTGGCTAACTTAGGCAGCTCCCTATCATGCTGGCTTTGTGGATGACATTCTAAGGTGCCTATCTCTCTCCGTTCATGGTATAGGGAGTGTATGTGCCTAACTCAAGCTTTGTGGATTGTAGTGGTGTTCCTGTGTTTTTTCTAGGCACATGAAAGTTAGGTGTTGTGATGCTCAATATGGCAAAGGCTAAGTCCCTTTTGAGGGTCTAGGCCTTAGTCTCTCTCTTCCTCATTCCCCATCTGCAAAAGGGGGATAATAGTACTTCCCTAACTCACAAGTATGTTTGTGGGAATAAATGCATTAAAGATTGTGTGGTGCTCTGGTACTGTGGTTATGAGGGACATATAAGTACCTAACATTGCCCAATTTAAAATCATGTTGGAGGAAGACAATGGAGGATATAGCTCCTGAGCTAAGGAAAGTACAGACTACTTATGAGATATGCTCTTTTTAAGGGCTGGGGTGTAACCAGCTACCATACCTCTTCAAAAGTACCAGTCAATTTTCCACTGTTAATGCTTTAAAAGAAAATGTGTTCTAGATTAGAAAAATCTAGTCACATTTAAAGTTGTTTGTTTAGGAACAGAGAGAGAGAGAGATGTTGTATTATCCAGTAATGGTAATAAATAATAGAAGTTACAATAAACATCTGTAATCATTAAAAATTATATGAGGTGATTCAGTCTCAGTTTTCTGAAATATGACTTGTTGACGTTAAGATTTTTTTCTAACTCTACAGAGAGTTCTCAGTCCTTTGGTTATGTTTCCCATTCTTCTGCTCTGAAGTGCTTGTTGACTTATAAGTATTTCCCTTGCAGCTGTGCCATGATCTCCTTCAGTCTTATGAATAAACTTTGTTTGGACATAGGGACATGATTCCAGCTGCTGCTGCCACTCTTTGTTCAGCTTCCCTTTATTTTAAGGTGACCATTTAAAAACATGCACTCCCTGGTAGTAACAGTTCTTCGTTGTGCAAACTGAGTCAACAAGTCTAAATTTGCCACTTTAGACATTAATTAATAATAACCAGTAGTTGTTCAATTTATTCCCTATTTAAATGCTGACAGTATGCTTGGCTCTAAACAAAATGCAGAAGGCATGTTTTGCACTTAATGGAAGTTACAGTATACGTAGATGGTAGTTGGAGAATGTTTGACTATGGAGAAGTTTTTCAAAGGAAATAGAGGACCCTTACCTTGAGCAATTTAAAACTAGATTGGGCAAAGCACTGGGAGAGAGAGTGTAGGGAATAATTTATACTGATTGAGGTGGATTAGGTCATTTTTTCCACCTTTAATTTCTATTCTTCTTCTGATGGCTACTGACATAGTGCTCTTTCTCTGGCTAACAGGGCAAATGGACACTGTTCTCCCAGTATCCTAAGCCTCAGTCCATGACTTGCAATTCACCTGAGATCAATCACTGGTGGGCAGAAGATTCCTGAACCTGTGGGGTGTGGTGTTTTTGTATATCACACAACACTGCTCTGACTGCATTGGATCTGATTTCTAACAGAAGCCAAGTAATCGGAGCAGGTTAAACCATCCTGCATTTATCATATGTCTAGCTACCCAAAAGGTAACATTATGGTTTATGGACCATTAATTTTTAAACAATATGTGTTATGTATATGCCATATACAACACAAATAAAGACACAGTCCTTACCCAAAGGAGCTCACAATCTTAATAAAGGACAGCACACACTGTGAGACCAGAGTGTGATGATAACTTAGAACTTTCTTGCTCATAAACAAATGGGGGTGAATGGTAATAGCATTATATTAATGTAGTTTAGCATTTGTGGGCTGAAAAGAAGAAATGGGATTTCCAGAGGAATTTAAATGAAGAAAGGTAGGTGGTTAGTACACTGGAAAAAAATTGTCATTTCAGGGCCTCCTGATCATATATAAGAAAATATGAAGGTGAGAAAGGCAAAAACAATTTGTAACTAGCATACCCTATTTTATTTATTTATTTTAATTTCTAGAAACTTATCCCTGAACATACGAGTCTTGCTTTGAGAACACTGAATAGTAAATTATTGAACCTCCATCCTGAATTATTATTTGTATTTGTAAATAGTAGTGTTTTCTATATTCTTCTAAAAATTGGACTTTTCTCCCAAATTTATGATCTGTTGAACTTTGACTTTCATAGCAAACTTATCGACTGACTTTCAGGTCTTGAAAATCTAAAAATATCAAGTGGGCATCAAGCACTAAATATCATTTTGTTGTTGTGGATAGAAGCAACTCTCCAGTTTTTTGGGTTTTATCTGCTGTTGTAGCATAGTAACATGTGATTTGGTTATCTCTTCTTATTTACATGGCAATGAAAAATGTAAAGAGAAGAGTTTCTTTCCTCCCCAGTGCCCAAACCTTGTGTACTGAACTGGTTCAGTCTCTTCAGAGGCTACATCTGGTGATTTGTGGGGATAAGGGACACAGTGGCTTTCTAAAACCAAAACTGAGATGTACTATCATTTAATCATTCATTTTATTTTCAATGCAAATGAATATTAAGCACAGTAAAGCTGAATTAATTTCCCATTATTCCAGTGCTGCTGTTCTGCAGCTTTATAAATGTATTAACACCTGTGACTCATGGCTGATAGTCATGATGTGTAAATGCCATGGTAATACATGTAATGGCTCACTTGCTAGACAACATTAGGTTGAGGTGTTTTTTTTTTATTAAATACTTGTAAGTAGCAAGTAGGTTTGAAATTGCAGTGTTGCTAAATTAAAATAATTGTAATACTGAAAAATTAA